CGCTGGGCCTGTGGCTGCCTTCACTCTGCCTTATCGCATGATTTATGCTGTTGCAACTCAAGATGCTATTCACATTTACGATACGCAGCAGCAGAAGCCGTTGTGCATAGTTAGCAACTTGCACTTTGCTACTTTTACGGATATCACCTGGTGAGACATATAATAATCATTAAATTTGGAACATTACTGACACTTCCAAAGGTCCAACGATGGATCCATGCTGCTAATGACATCCTCGGATGGATTCTGCTCTTCGATAACATTTGCTCCTGGAGAACTGGGCGAAAAGTACACAGGACCATTGGCTGTCCATAACAGACAACAAAATGCACCTGCTGCCATTAACACAGCGGCCGGCCAGGCATCCAATCATTCCACCCCAACACCCACGCCAACAACTGGCAGTATGTCGGCAGCAGCAACAGCAACAGCACCTCCAATGCAAAGACAACCATCTGCAGGCTTCCCAGCATCTCCAAGCTCTTTTGTTCCCGCACGGCCAGGCAGTCCAACAAGAAGCAACTCGGTGTCCAGTATCGCTACGGCCTCGTCATTTGCTCCCGGAGCGGGAGATCAGAGCAACATGAATGCACCAACACCAGTCATGTCGTCAGTACCGAGCATTGCAGCAGCTAACTCTGGGCCGGTTCCCATGTGGACACCGCCTCTTACCCCTGCTCATGGTCAGGGTGGGTCGCACAGCGCCAGTAGCTCAGTCAGTGGGGTTCCACACATTGGCCATGTCGGACGTAGAGAGAGCGAAAGGAGCGAATGCGATCGTGACGACGGAGCAGCACTGTCTAAGAAACGAGATCTTAACCCTGTCGCAGATGCCGAAACGGAAGACGTGCGGGAGAACAAGAGGCGGAGAATTGCGCCAACGCCTGTTGAATTGACGATGGATGGGGAGGAGGCGATTGTGAGCACCGAGGAAGAGCAAACACCTGGTCGATAGTAATTGTTTGCCGGGTTGAATTTCCTTTTCTAAAGCTTCTGCACTGCTTACAGCGACTCTCTAGCACGGCGTTTGGGACATGGGCCAGGATTGCGCAACCAGCCATGGCGCTGAGTTTGAGCGATGTGGACATGGGGCATTTCCACATGTTGGGCGTTGTCTGACCGTCATTATTTGTTTAATAAGAGTTCACTGTACGAAGGTATGCACGGCCATGTTTCGAGATACAGGGCCAGAATGAAAGCAGATACATAATCCAGTATTTATTGCAAGGCTTTGAGGGAGGGAAGAAGTCCGGAAGGATTGCCGTGTGTCTCCATGGCAGATGTACTAGCGCGTTGCTTGGTGCAGTATGGCTTGCTTTTTTTTTTACCAAGAGATCCAAGACGGATCGGCTTAATCTCTACCCTGTCAGATAAAGGCCGCTTATCATGCCAGCCAACCACAGGCCCGCAATGATGCTCGCGGGCAGGTTCAGGCGTTGCATTCGATGGCAAGGTCGCAGTACAAAAGCGACTTGCGCATCGCTGGTGTCGAAGCCATCCGGGTTGGATGGCAAAATTCTTTCCCGCCCCCCTTCTTCCTTTGACACTTTACTATACCCACCCAGTTCCCGTTTCCTGTAGGTGATTTCCTGCATTCGTCATTCTTTGCATCTTGCATTTGCGCTCAAGGATAACCGCCAAATCAGCACGCACATACACACACACACAGAGAGAGAGATTACACGCGCGCGCGTGCGTTTTCGCCCAAACAGATTTTGTGTATCTGTGTGTCTATTGTGTGTGTGTGTCACATATATCGTGTGTGTATATACATATATTGTATTCCAGACGGGGGGGAGAGAGAGAATGGACGAACCAATGAAAAAGACGCACGAGGAGCGAGATGCCGAGCAAGGAGACCATGTACTGCAGACGTACGACGAAACGAGTATTCTGGGCAAAAACGACCTTTTGCAGCAAGAGCATACGGATCCCGTGCTGAATGCTAAGATGCATCTTGTTAATAATGCGATTGATGAGGTAAAATCTCCAGTCTGTGGAGAGAGAGAGAAAGGACCGACGTTGAACTAACGATGGATGTGTTAGATTGGATTTACAACCTATCAATGGAAGGTAAAAATTTTCTTCCCTTTTTCTATTCAACCCTCGAGATGACGGTTTGTTTCATTTTGTTTTTGTTTTTGTTTTTTTTTGAATGGAAGAATAACGAAAATAAAAATAGTTATTCGTACTCAACGGCTTTGGCTATGCGGTCGACTCCCTAATCCTCCTTATCCAATCCATCATCGCTGGCCAAGCCGCTCTGGAATTCTCGCCTTCCTACGCCAATGGCCTGACTATTGCCGCCTACGTCGGTATGCTCGTTGGCGCACTGTTCTGGGGACTAACGGCAGATATCATGGGGCGCAAGATTGCGTTCAATGTCAGTTTGCTGATTTGCTCGGTTTTTGCCATTGTAGCCGGGGCGAGTCCGAATTGGGAGGTTCTGGGACTTTTTGTGTGTTTGAGTGCGTTTGGGGCGGGCGGAAACCTCGTACTTGATACGGCAGTTTTTCTGGAGTATTTGCCGAGTAAGAGGCAGTGGATGCTTACGCTTATGGCGGCTTGGTGGGGTATGCTTTGTCTCTCTCTCTCTTTTTTTTTTGATATTGTGTCAAAGTTGAGAGGTGAATGTGAATAGTAACTAATCTGCGGCAATATAGGTATCGGACAACTTATCGCTGGATTCTTGGCCTGGGGGTTTATTCCCAATTTCAGCTGCACGGATCCTGAAATCGATCCTTCGGCTACGCCGTGTACCAAGGATAATAACCAAGGCTGGCGCTACGTGTGGTATACGTCTGGTTCGCTCGTCCTGGTCATGTCCATTCTACGCATCACGGTTATTAGACTGCAGGAAACACCGAAATTTCTCGTCAGCGAAGGCAAAGATGCGGAATGTGTGGAGATTCTACAGCATATTGCAGAGAAATACAATCGGCCTTGTAGTCTCACTCTGCAGATGATGCAGGACTGCGGCACCACTGAGCGGGCGGCTGCACGGCAGGGAAAGAGCAAATGGGGGTTTGGACAGGTTGCTATGCATCTCCGCGGTCTATACGCGACTAAGCGAATCGGCATTTCCACCTCGCTCATCTGGCTCTCCTGGACACTGATCGGCCTTGCATACCCGCTGTACAACGTCTTTCTGCCCGCGTACCTGGCCTCGCGCGGCGCCGCATTTGGACAGTCCAGCCCGTACATCACGTGGCGCAACTACACGCTCGTCAACTTTAGTGGTATCTGGGGCCCTGTGCTAGCGGGCTGGATGTGTGAGACGCGGCTGGGCAGAAAGTACACAATGGTGGTTGGAGCGCTGGTGACCATGGCCTTCTTCTTTGCCTACACGCAGGTGCGCACAGCGACGCAGAATGTGGCCTTCACGTGCATTATCAATTTCTGTCTCAACGTCTATTATGGCACGCTTTACGCATATACACCGGAAGTTTTGCCGTCACATGACCGAGGGACGGGAAATGGGATCGCGATTGGATGCAATCGTGTCATGGGCATTTTGAGCGCGGTTATCGCTACTGTTGCCGATGTGAGTTTGGTTTTCCCTTCCTTGCCAAAGTTGTACTATGGGTTTGCTGACATAAAACGCTAGACTGGAACTGCGGTGCCGATATATATCTGCGCAGCGTTATACATTGTCATGGCGGGTATTGCGGCAATGTTTCCCTTTGAGCCATATGGCAAGAGGAGTTCCTAAGAAGAGAATGAGAGCCCAGGCTTACTCCGACTACCTTGATACATGTATCTTGAAGCCCTTGTGCTCAATGGCAGAATATTTCTGGGATCATGATATCGTCTGACGGGAGGTTTCCCAGCCGTGTGCTGCATACAGATCGCCAGTGTCGCATGCAGGGTCCAAGGCGTAAACGCCTTCAGGGTGAGGGCACGTCGCTGACTATGTGCAAATCGCGTCAGGGTATAGTATGGCCTGCTTGTCGCTGTAGGTGATGCAGAGAGAGAAAGTAGATCAAGTATGTTCTCCCATGTTGTTGAGCGTGCTAGACATGTCGAGGGATGCATGTGTATGCAAAGGGTGCGGGCAGATGAGCTTTCATCTAGTCTTTGTTTGTTCTGACAATGTCCTTTGTATTAATGCCGATGTGTCATGGTTTTGTTTGGCGAATGCATGCATGTAGACTGCACACACACGTCGTGGCTCAATGTCGTTGTCGGCGCAAGGTCGGAGTTTCTTTTTCCCGCAGGCAGTTTGGATTCGTCTGGTCGGGCATTGCTTTTTTATTCTAGCCAGAGCCGCCGCAAGCGCGGGGATGGTTTCTGTCCTGTTCCCATTGGTCCAACTTTAGTACGTTTGCTTGTGCTTGCGATGATTTACCAGCCTTTGGATTGTGTCCTTGACCCAGCCGACCGGTATCGTTTCGCCTGCCCCATCTGGATGTGGCTAGGGTACATGTGTGTGAACCAAGATGACTTTGTAAAGCACAAAGTTACCCATGTCAAGCCATGGATGTAGCGAGCATACAGTTTTCACAAAACCATTGTCACATTGCGGGGTGCTTTCCATGTGGTTGTGACGTGGGCGATCCAACGACAGGGATGGGTTGAAGCATCAGCCACTGCAGTGCATGTCCTAGTCGAGCACCCAACTAGGGCGAACCACTATCCATGGTGCTAAGAACCCTGGTGGGCAACTCAGATATACCGCGGGGGATATACTGTACATACTTGTGCAGATGCTAGATATGCAGTGATTTGCATGGGCCCCGAGAGATGCAGTTGCACGAGCAAGCAAGCGAAGAGGGGCATTATCAGAACCCCGAGTTGGGCTAGTGACGCGATACAAAGGAGGCGACCAAGCAAACATGCAAGTGGGGAAGGGACATATGAATATATATATATAGATGTATATTTGCGCCGTTTTGCCAGTACCAAACTTGCCACTTGGTAGCGTGGGCCTTGGATAGTTGGCTGTGCTTGTTGGGCTGGTGAAGATGGGGGATCTGGCGAGGCGAGGAGGATAGGTGACAATGGATCGTACCGAGCAGGGCTCGGAGAGAATACGGGCTCGGACAGTCGGAGATTTGCAAGTGCGGTGGACAGAGCGACGGGTCGGAGCAAAGGTTGTGGGAAAATGGGCCTTTTCCCCACGGGTCCATGTTGATAGTAGTATGTAGTGTAGGATGTTGGGTTGGCATGTACTGTGTACACTATCCAGTAGTGGCCCCAGTCCAAGTTCGGACGGAGTTAAGCACGTATGGGCCGGAGGGGACAGCGGCCAGCCGACAGCCGACAGCCGACAAGAACCCCCCCCCCCCCCCTCCCCCCGTCGACGGGCCAAGAGCAAGTAGGAAAAGGCCGTCAGAGGCGGTGCAGTGTCAAATAGCCGCCTGCTGCCACGACCGGTCTGGCTGTACTTACACAGCAAGTATTGTAGTGGCCGATTTGCAGCTGGGGCTTGCCACAATCACCATGGCCTCGAGGCTACGGCAGGGCATAACGGTCGCGGGTGATTGGCGGGCGGAGGGTGCAGCGCGTGGGCTCTGGAAGTGCATAGTACGTGGCTTTACTTTGCGCCTAGTGCTGACGGGCAGCACTGATCGACGGGCTCTGTAAAGGTTCCCCTTGTGTGCCATGTTGCCCTGCTGAGCTTCCACCTACCAGAGCCCAGCCGTCCGGGGAATATGCTCGTCCATGACCGCTGCTCATCACGGCCTGCGCTGCCATGCCATGCCATGCCATGCCTTGCCTTGCCTCATGGCACGGCGGGGTATCGCGGCTCCTTTGGCCTCGCATCTATCTACTAGTCTGGACATGGCGGTGCTGCATCTTGTGTACTTCGATACTACATGTGTACTAGACAATGCGTCTGTGCCATGATTGCGAAGCCGCAGTAAGCAACACATTCGCTGGCTGGGAATCCTGGGGTTGAACAGCTGCGGCATCAGCATTGCTCCTGCTGCCCTCATCAGCCATGGGCGCAGCCGCAGGCCGAGGCAAGCGACCGCACAGTACTGTGTACAGCACAGCACAGCACAGCACGGCGCAGCGCAGCGTAGCGCAGTACATACAGCACAGCGCCCGCTGTTGTCTACAGTAGGCTAGGTGTACATACATACATACATACATACATAGTTGGCTGGGCAAATGGGCCATGGCCAGCCCAGCATGCAGGCGTCGCACGCAGCCGACGCCGTGGTGATAGGGCAGAGCGGCGAAGAAGAAGCTACTACCATAAAATAAGCAGCCATAGGAGCCGTCGCTTCGAAACCGTTTGCTGGGGTGGCAGATGCATGTGGGCTGCCGATGGCTAACACTAAGTAGTGGGAGTGGGTGCAGCAGGGCGGCCTGTAAAGCAGCGGGAGTGAGCACCTCTAAGCTCAATCCCTACCGCTGCTGCGCTCGAGTATAATAAGAGGCACATGTTCAGCCCTCTGGCGTCAGTCCTTGCTGCTGCTCTCGGCCCAATCACTTTAGGGCGTATGCTTGCCCATCACGACGACTCTTGCCTCCCTCCCATCCCATTCCAACCACACCATGGACTACAACTATTACGCCGCGCCCCAGCAGCCATACTCACACCTCGTCGGCGTTGGGCCTCACCCATTCCCTCACTCGGCCCTTGAGCGGGACACAACACACAGCACCGTGAGTTTGTTTTGTTTTTTTTCCCTTTTCCAGTGGTGTGATGAGGGTTGTCGAGTCGGCCCTGCTTGCGTACACACTTACCATGACTAATCGGGCGTGTACAGGAACCTCTTGACGCCGTCCTGTTCCCCTCTGCCTACGATGCCACTGGTTTCGCCAACGGCCTGCCGACCCCGCAACAGGAGTCCCCAGAACACGCAACAGCAAACACTCCCATGGCTGCAGGTAGCGTGGACTCGGGCATTGGCGCCGAATTCGATGATGGCCGGATAAGCCGGACGAGGAGCAGCAGTGAAGAAAAGGACAACCTGACGCCTGCTCAGAGCAGGCGCAAGGCTCAGAACCGCGCTGCGTAAGCTCCATCCGCCCTCACTCACCTGTCCCGCAATACACTGACCCTTCTGCCCGTATACAGTCAGCGTGCCTTTCGTGAGCGCAAGGAGCGCCATGTCAAGGAGCTCGAGACCAAGCTCTCCGCCCTCGAGTCCAGCACCCACTCGCTGCAGTCGGACAACGAGCGCCTCAAGGCTGCCCTGCAGCGCGCCCGCACCGAGAACGAGATCCTGCGTGCCACCAGCGGCCACTCGCCTTCGTCCCCGCCACAGCCAGTAACTGCAAGCTATCCCTCGCCCGGCGCCCACCTCCTCCTCGAAGACCATGAAAAGGACGAAGAATACAATGTTCAGCCCCTGCCCAACGGCTCCGTTATCAACGCCGCTGGCAAGGAACACTCGCGTCAGGGTCCAAGGGGCAAAGAGGTCCCCGCCGCAAAGGCCTGGGATCTTATCCAGTCACATACTCTCATCAAGCAGGGCCTCGTGGACGTGGCCGATGTCTGTGAGCGGCTCAAAGGCTCCGCCAAGTGCGATGGCCACGGTCCCGTCTTTGAAGAGAGCGCCATTTGGCAGGCCATTGACGAGTCACGGCGCTGTGGAGGTGATGAATTGATATGATCCTCAGCCAGGCACGCTGAACCCCTTCGTTTCTCTTAATACCCCCTTTCCCTTTCCTTTTATCTTTTTCCATGGTTTCTGGTGTTTTGGCGTCCGGCACATGACTGGCTGGTGGGTTATCTACTAAGCTGGCCCACAAAATCGGACACTTTCGTATCGCGGGGAGGCACATTTCGGGCGGTTTGTTAATGCTACGACACAGAATAGCGATAGGCTTGGTTCCTCGAGATTCTGCATACACTTACCACAATCAAACAAGTACGCATTTCTGATCGGTATATCAGTCTCACGCATCCTTCTTCTAGCTTGCAAACACGTGTTGCAATCTGACTGCAATTGTGGCTTCTGTTCGCTCAGAGGATGCAGCACGAGACGTCTGAGCAGCTGAAAGTTTATCCACTACATAGTTTGTACAAGGAACCGGAATCACAAAAACCCGAGCAACGCCAACAAGGATCGGAACAGGGACCAGGCGCTCGACTGGGGGGTCCGATCACGAATTCGTGGTTCTGCAACGGGAATAAAGCTTCCTAAGACATTGGTTGATTATCACCGTATTAGGACTTCTGGGCATGAGTACTACATGGATTCTTCGTTTCGGGGACCATCCGGCAGCACACAGCAACACTCTAATCATCTGTCATCGCCCACCTCTATCCATAAACGGCAATAGGAAGTGATCCAACTTTATGTCCTAGTCCAAGGCCTGCCGCATCAAAGCAAAAAAAAAAACCCCCCCAATGACTGTGTAATACTGACATGGTATGCTGCTTTGTGCTAACACGGCGAGCGGGCCGACTTTACTGTATGTAGCGAATCGCGTACGGAAAAGAGGAAGGAAGTGCTGCTGGTGACAGCCAGCCAATTGAATAACAGGAACCATGCAGCACAGCGTTGGGGGACAGTCTCGATAGCACCGTGACTAGGAACGCACATGCTACTTGCAAATCTTCATGTTGCAGAAACCAAACCCTATAAGAAAACTTCTCTCTTTGTCTTCCACCTCAAACCTTCCCCCAGCGTATATGTACAGAGCAAAGAAACACCGTAATACATACATGCAATAACTCCACACAGCCCTCTTCCTTTGCCCCCTCTTCTGCTGAAAGTAAAAAAGAAAGTCACCCCACTTCCACACATTCACACTTTTCCCAACCGAATCAGAGCATACTCAGCCCTTCTCTATGTGTGTGTGTGTATGTGCATAATGCAAGCCACATCTCGCTCTTCTTGGCCTTCGCCCCCAAAGCAAGCCAAGTCCAACCCGTCAGCAAGTGCACACGCACACCTGGCGACATGTCAGCACTGCACGCCGCCAGTGTAAACGGTGACATAAGCCCCCTCTGGGCGAGACCTCGGATGACTAGACGGTTGTAATCTATGTTGCTTTGGGCTTGGTTGGTTGGTTGGCTGGTTGGCATGCGGGGAAGCGAAGGAGGGGTGGTGTGGTTAGCTGTAGGGGAGGAAAGGGAGGGGGGGCCTTGTCCCGGGGTCCAGGTCGACTGGAGGCTGGTTGGCTGGGTGGAGAGTGCGGTGGTACCGATGCTGCGGCTAGAAGGTAGCTTTGCACGTTTGTCGGTTGCATGCACTTGTGTCGGTTGCAGGAAGGGGGGAGGGGTGTGAGATGGGGGTGGGGAAAGGGCTGGACTGGGCTGGGCTGTTTTTCTTCTCTCTACAAGGCAGACATATTCGAACTCTTTTTCTCTTTGGTTGATGGGTGGGAAATTCACATGGTTTGTGTAAAGTTGTGAGGGTCCGGATATTTCTCACTGTTGCTGCGGACTCTTACTTTCCCAATTGAACAGGGTAGTGCTCGTTACACAAAGAAGACGTCTACAATCCCGTTGCTGTGCATTGATCTAACCTCCCCATTTTGTGTATTTGTACATATGTACTCCTGCCACTTCTTGTGCAGAAACCAGCTTTTTTCGAACCCGTCTTCTTCCTAGCCATTGGCTAGGTTTCTAATTCTGCGGTCCAAGCCTGCATATCTCGCAACATGCCTCTTCATCTAGAGCTCCTTGCCATCGCAACACTCCCACATACGTGTTATGTGCGGGAACTCCATCTATAGCAGCCCATGGCTGGCCTGGAAGAATGATTGTGATTATCGCCCTCCTCAATCCCAATCGCTATCGTCGTCCTCGGCCACGGTCTTGCCTTGCCGTATCTTATTCGAGCTTTCCTCTCCCTCCTCCTTCTTCCGCTGCAAACGCGAGTCACCAAGTTTGACAGCCCCAACATCCACCAACACCTTTTCCAGATCTAACACAGCAATCACACAATGTCAGCACTCTATCTCTCTCGTAATACAACCTCTTCAAAAAGAAGAAAGAGGAACTGTTTTACTCACCTTGCACAGTTGTCCTTGGCCCAGCCAATTGCATAAGCGTAACAATCTGCCTCTTGATATCGCCATCCTTGTAAATCAACACCGTTGGTGTATTCTTGTCCGGATATCCTTCTATACACAAGTCGGCTCTCATTTGGCAGAACTTGACGTCACCAAAGCGCTTCGCTAGCTCCCGCCAATGCTCAATCATGATTCTGCTTTCGGTATTCGTTCCCGTAGAGCTGGTCAGCAGCACGAGCACATATGCATCTTTGCTTGCCTCGGTTACGTCGCGTGAGTAGTCGGGTTTTTGCAGGTGGTACACCTGGTTGTAGACGGATGCAGTGTTGATGCTCGAGAGCTCCGCCATGCGCTTCTGGCGGTATGAGTCGAGGAAGTCATCGTCTTCGAGGTCTTCGAGTTCGTCGAGTTCGTCGAGGTCTTTGCCTTCGAGTCGGTTCTCGTGGGCTAGTTGTCGCGCTTGTTCCAGGGCTTCTTGGATCATGGGTGTTGGCGAGGGCGGCTTCTCGGGTATCACGCCGTGTTTGCGCAGGATATCGTTCCTAGCACATGCACATTAGAAGCCTGCGCCTGCTGTTTGGCCGTAATTGCGTGCTGAACTCGCTCACCATTCCGTGTCGGCGTTGGGGTCGTCCACCGCGACATTTACGGGCATATCTGGCATCTGCATGGCTGCGGACTGAAGGAGCAAGCTGTCAGGTTTTTCCTTGATTGAATTTCCTGAGCGGAACGCAGGTATCGTCAAATATGGTCTTGTATTGTAGAATCCTGCTGCCTGTAAACTGTCAAATCTTTCGAGCAATGCGAAGCTCGCAGTGAACCCTGTCGATTTGCCCCGCCCCCACTTCATGCCCGCGGCGCCAACTCGATTATCGAAACCAGATCAACTTTCCCGTGGCACTATACACATCCAAAGTGATTGTTCTTATATTGCCTGTTGAAAATCGACTACCGGTGGCGTAAACTGCTTTTTATATAGTCTCTAAGATCCTTGATCAAGTTTTTCGAATTTTCAATTGCGAATACATTCAACCCAACTTCCTTGATTAGTACATATAAACCATCAGAAATTGGGTTTCAGAGCACTAAGATCATACCCCATTTG